TCTTGGTATTTGGTTTTTCAGCCCCTCCTTTCTTAAATTTGCACAATTTATGTTCCAACAGCCTTGAGGAATCCCTGAGGCTTTGACAGCAAACTCAGGAGCAGGCTGGCTGTGACCACCATGGCCTAACCCTGCAGGTGCATTGCAGCAGGAGACATTTATAAAAATCATTATTAATGTAGGGAATAATGTGCTCTGACTCCATGACTCAGAAGGTTGAACAAATGCTTTATTAAGCTGTAATTTATTACACTAATACTATACTAAATTACATACTAAAATACTATGCTATACTAAATTACATATTATACTAAAAGGTGCTACACTAAAGGGATACTAAAGCAAAACCTGTGAGTGTCTGAGACAGCCAGCACACACCTTTGACCCAATTATCCAAGGAATCAAAACAACCCTCACCAGTGTCCAGTTAACAAATCACTCTGGGTAAACAATCTCCATAACACATTCCACATGTGCCAAACAGCAGGAGCAGAGAATAGAAATAAGAATTGTTTTCTCTTCTTCTCTGAGCTTCTCACTGCCTTTCCCTAGGAGAAATCCTTGGGAGCTTGTGCCTGCTGCTCTCTGTGAAGAAATTAGCAAAATCTCAAATCAGCAAACCAAAACCACCACACCAAATAACCTTTAGAAGAAGCCTTGTGGCCGTACAAAAATGTGAAAGCCTTTTGTTTGTAAGAAATGAGAGATTAAAGATGAGAATGGAGCTGTTCTTGTCCCCCCAGGCAGGATGAGAGGAAGAAACGCTCCTTCAGGGACTACACGAGCCAGAAGATCACCCTGGAGGCCGTGCTGAACACGGTGTGCAAGAAGTGTGGCTGCAAAGGTGGGGCTGGGCTGCTGCTTCTGGCTCTGTCCCTGCCAGGCACTGACCCTTGGTGGGCTTCTATCAGTGTCTGTCTCGTGGTTGGAATCCCAGAATGGTTTGGGTTGGAAGGGACCTTAAATCCCACCTGATTCCAGTCCCCAGGGCCACCTCCCACCATCCCAGGTGCTGCCAGCCCTGCCCAGCCTGGCCTTGGGCACTGCCAGGGATCCAGGGGCAGCCACAGCTGCTGACACGGTTACATGTGTCTGTAAGGACTGAATTTTAGTTCTGTGTTTGTCCTTTAGAGGAGGGAGTTTTTATCACTTGCTACAAAACCAAAAGATTTAATTCAAGTCCTTCAAAAACTTATTTTATTCCTTAAAATCACACTCCTTTTGCCAGTGGAGGGCCTTCATCACAGAGGTGATGAAGAATTGGAGAGATGAGGAGAGACTGAGGGAGCTGGGCTTGATTATTGTGGAGAAGAAAACTGAGAGGGAATCCATAAATCCACACAAATATCCCAGGGGTGTCAGAGGATGGTGCAGACTCTGCTCAGGGACAGGACAAGGAGTGATGGCCAGAAAATGAAACACAACGAGCTGAACTTCACTGTGAGGGAGAACTTCTGTCTGTGGGGAGTGAGAGAGAGCAGGGAGGGAGTGGAGTGTGGAGCCGTCCCAGCTCCCTGGATGTGTCCCTGTGTCACCTGCTCCAGGTGATCCCTTCAGCCCCAACCATTCTGTGCCTCCTGCTGGGAGGCAGAATCACTGAGGTGGGAAAAGAGCTCCAAGGACATCAAATCCCAGCTGTGCCCAATGCCCACCCTGTCCCCAGCGCAGAGCTCTGAGTGCCACCTCCAGGAATTGCTGGGGCACCTGCAGGGATGGGCACTGCAAAGCTCCCTGGGCAGCCCCTGGCAAGGCCTGAGCCCCCTTTGCATGGGGAAATTCCTGCTGTGCCCACCCTGAGCCTGCCCTGGCNCTGGAGCTGGGTTTGGGTCTCTGTGTGGGGGTGGCACTGGTGTGGCAGTGCCACATCCTGGCTGGCAGCGCTGAGCCCTGTCCTGTCTCCTGTAACCCCTGAGGAAAGGGGTGATGGAGGGTGTGCAGGGAAGGGAATGGAGAATCCTGAGGGAGCTGGGAAGGGGCTCAGCCTGGGAAAAGGGGGATCAGGGGGGCCCTTGTGGCCCTGCACAGCTCCTGCCAGGAGGGCACAGCCAGGGATGCTCCCAGGGGTGAGAGCAAACAGCCTCAGTTGTGCTGAGGGAGCTTTAGGGTTGCCACTGCTCAGCCCAGGGCAAGTTAGAAAAAGCAGAAATTTAAAGGTTTTCCATGTGTGCAGCCTGGCAGAGCAACACCATGGCTGCTCTCCCCCATCCCTGCACCTCAACACAGGAGTGTGCAGCTGCTCCTTCTCCCCTTTCCCAGAACAGGACAGGATTGAAGTGCAGAGGAGGAGCCAGCAAACACTGAGCCACTGGTGCAGGATCCCCATAGTTACTGTCCCCAGGGCATTGCACCTACTGTGAGCCCACATCTCCAAATCCTGCCTTCCTGCCATCTCAGCAATCTGTTTGAGGATTTATGGAGGGGTTCTCCTCACTCCCCTCTGACTCTTGTCCGGTTATCTCGGCTGTTTGAGGGGCCTGGAAAGGCC